TAACTTTTTGAATCTACAAGCCTTTAGGAGTATTTGGTGCTTTGGATCTAGTCTAGGATTGAGTTTTGATACCATGCATGAATCTTGGCCTATTTCCCCTATTTTGACCTAATAAGAATTCAATACATGCATTGGACATGCATGTCTGAAAAGCATAGATTTTCATAATGATAATGGTGTTAGAAATTCTTCTGGAGTTGTTGGACAAATGACCTTATAGATTAAGTGCTTATTGCTTAAGCCATGTGGTGTTTTGGACCAAAAAGTTGAGATATATGCATCTTGGAGGGTTCTAAAGGATAAAGTTGGAAACTTTATCCATCTAGACCCTAAAATGGACCAGACATGAGTTGGAGAATCCTTGGACTCGAAGATAACAACTTAATTCGTTAAGTTGTTGAATACCCAGTGGCCACGTCGTGGCGGCTAGGCTGGTCACGACTATTTTGTCGTATCGACACCACGACATGGTTAAGGATGACCATGACGTGGCGATTGGTCTGTTGACTTTGACTTTGACCGTTAACTTTGACCAAGTTTGACATAGGGGCGGTTTGGGTATTTTGAGTTGGATTTGAGAACTGGTCACTATTTGTTGGATTGGTGACCGATAGAGATGATATTCGAAATTGTGTCCTGTTCAACGATCATTTCAGACTAAGAAGTGAGTTTTTCTCACTGTACTTGTTGATCGAAGGCACCAATGTCGGCCCACTAGATGATGTATCTTGGTATAGAGGATATTAATATGTTATAGTGGTCTGTTAGATCGGTATCATGGTAAATAGGATGTAGTATGTGGTAGTGATCTGTAGATCTGCATGTTTGTCTGATGACTGGTTATATGTTTATCTGTTTGCTGGATATATGTTATATGTTATGTATATGTCGATATAGTATGGTTGGGTTGAGGTAGTACTGCTTTGTGCTATAGCTAACAAACCCGAGAGCAAGCCATACATAAGATGTGGGCTTGAAGGGCAAGCCAGACTTATGATGTGGGCTCGAGAGCAAGCCAAATATGAGCTGTGGGCCTGAAGGGCAAGCCAAACTCATACTGTGGGCTCAGGGGTAATCCAGTCTGTTAGCTGTGGACCCAATATATGTTGTTATATGTTGTGTGTTGGTACTTTGGGGGAACTCACTAAGCTTTGGCTTACAGTTTTCGTTTTGTTGTTTCAGGTACTTCAGATGACCGTAGCACGGCGAAGGCGTGATCGTGCACATCCTTGGGTTTTTATGTTGTTTGGATTTTGGGATACTCTGATTACTAAAATACATTTTTAAAACAATGATTTTGTAAACATTTATGGTTATAGGTTGCTTTTGAAAAATTTAAATTTGTTGTGATTTTCGGGATGTTAAATTTATCGTGTGTTGTTTTGTATTTATTAATTTTTGTTAGATGTACCATATTACTCAAACCAAACACAAATATTGAAATCATGACACAACATTAGACATAGCAAATAAATACAAAGAATTAGACATTTTTATTCATGTGGCTACTACACAATGAATGAATGAACATTTTATATATATTCAAAGAATCATAAATTCTTGAACACCCATACAGTTTATTATTGATTATTATCACTTTTAACAATAGAAATACGTCATATAATTTTCTCATATAACACATTTTGTTATTGTTAGCGATCATGTATTACTTATTTTATATCATATAAGCATTTCGAAATATGGGTTTACATTAGGCACTCTCTTTTACTAGAGGTGCTAAACTGGGGATTGATCGGTCCTTTTAGCATGTTATAACTGGCCCAATCCCAACTTTTACAAATTACAAGTAACCCAACTCTCAACGGGCTGAAGGCCCACTTATTCGCGCCAATATCATCCATCCTAATAAAATCTGTAACCTCTCCCTGCTTGGATTCGGTGCATTTCCGGCGATGGGTTTCCGACGAAAAGTCTCAGGTTTCGCCGTTTCACCATATTTGGCTCCGTTACCTGGATAGTCATCACCAACAACGTTCTTCGCTGTATTCAACGACGTCAATTTCAGTTTTCATGTTCACGTTCAGTTTGGCTTCGGACCATGTTTGAGTTCGAGGCTATTTCAGTTGCAGAAAGTAAACGAATGGTTTATCATTGATTGATGATCCCGATCTCCAACTGTAAAAAAATGCGGATCCTGGTGGACTGAATTGGCCGATGACATCCGTATGCATTCATATACTGTATAATCTTGTTTCTGGGTCGTAAGGTTAGTGGTTATATGCACATCAAATTAACGTCATATGAGTATGATAATCGATCGTATTGTCTTTTTAGGGGTGTTTGGAAATTGATATTTGTGAAGCATCATAATCAGATAATCATCCATTAACAGTTCGTAGTTCTTACAATCAACTATTTTAGGGAAAATTTGTATTGATATGCATATTCAGAAAGCGAAATCTTTTATCTTTCCAACGATGAACAGCTGGAAATCTGTTGGCATGGGCACACTTGTAAAGATCCAAATCATTTTTGTTTGTGGATATTAGACATTCCCATACCACACCAGGACCACAGTGTCGTCATCATATTCATATGTAAGTAATTTTCTACATTTCCAAGACTATAAGGGCTAACTCAAGTCAAGATATGTGGCTGGGAATTCCCCCAATATATTACACTTTTTACCTTTTACTGAAAAAACAAATACGTAGTAATAATATTAGCTCATCATCATCATCAAGTCTGCATTTTACATGGGGACACAGTAACATCCAAAATTAGTGCATCTTTTAAATAACAATTGGCATGATTTTTGGCCTAAACTAGTCAGATCTTCTCAATTTGCTAAAACTTCCCAAATCAACTCTGGATCATAAGAAGGCAAGCGAGCAAGAGAGCATCCTTCAAACTCCGACTCACCACCACCTACTGCCACCACCTTTGACTCGCCGGACCCTGAACACTGTGAACTCTCTCCCTTCCAAAACCCATCTTCAGACATACTTGTTGACGACATTAATTCATCCCCAACACAAGAAATCGAAGAAGAATATTCTATTTTCATAATTTTTTCTCTTTCTCTTTCATCATCCTCACTCTCGCTCTTCTTCTTGTTCTTGTTCTTCTTCCTGTTGGCTTTCTCTCTCCTCAATTTCTGACAAATGGCCTGAATCTTGGCATCAACCGCACTTTTAAGCGCATTTAACCTCTGCCCATCTCCGATTAACCCTAATTGACTCGGATCCTGGACATTTGGGAAATTCAATCGCGCATATTCACCTCGTAGCTTATATGCCGCCCGATCATAAGCATACGCCGCTGTTTCAGCGGTCTCGTAGGTCCCCAACCAGATTCGCATTCTGTTTTGAGGTAGTCTGATCTCCGCCACCCATTTACCCCAATGCCTCTGCCTCACTCCTCTATAAAGCTTCTTTTTGTACGGATTGATGGAATAATCTAAACACCGTGGGTACCCGATTGGGGTCGTTGTAGATAAATTCGACAGACTTTTTTTCCCGAAATTTTGCTCGGAGAATTTCTGGAGCAAATCTCTCTGTTTCAGGTAAACTGAGGACCCTAGTGGTCGATGAATTGAGTTCGAAGGTACAGATGATGAACAGTGAGTGAAGATTGAATCTAGGGTGTTGCTACCATTTCCACCGCTTAAAATTAGACTAGAAAGAGATGACCCGATGTCATTATATTGACTATTTTGTTGCATGATGTGCAATTGATGTTACAGAGGAATAATCAAGAACAGAGTGAAAAAACAAAGGAAACAGGAGAATTGCTGGCTTCGATTCTCGATGGATTTACTAGTTTTAGATGTGAATCTAGCAAAAGGGTTCTTGGAATCGATTTTCCTGCCAGAATAAGAAGAAGAATACTGGGAGCTTTTGACTCTTGTGAGAAGATGGAACGAAGGAAAAAGTCCAAGTTTGAAATCTCAAATCTCTGCTCATTTCGTTTCCTGTTGGTGTATTTATAGCTGCAAATGTTAAATATTATCCACGGTCCTTTTAGGGGAAATGACCATCTCACCCTTGGTATATATTATTGCCATTCAAAACCCAAGAGGGTATTAGTGTCTATATAATAAAACCCTTATGAAATAGAAATACTGGATTTTTCATAACAAAAAGCCTATTTTTGTAAGACAATACAAAAATAATATTACATTTGTAGTTTTACAAGGCCAAAAGATTTCGATGGTGTCTATACGTAATACAATAAACTCATTACATAAGCCCTGTATAATCTATATATATATATTTTTTTTATCATTTGTCTCTAACATATCATGCAAATATCTTCTGAAATAGTTATGAGTTTGAGTCCTTGAAAAAAAAAGTTCATAACTTTACGAAATATGATGATCTCAAGGTCAAAAAGTGATCTTTTGGTTTTACATTGAGTCTGAAATGGGCACCTTTTTAGTTGTGCAAAAAAGTTAACCTTTTGTCCCTTGTTAAATGTTAACTACTAATATTAAAAGGTCAATCAATCCGAAGAGTGCCACGCGTGTTTGTGGTCTCCATTTTGCTTTTATCATAGGGTGGTATGGGTCTTGTTCAGGAGAAATTTGCTTCCACTCCTTTTTTCATCCATCTTTTTATTTTTTTATATATATAAAGCTGACGATATTAAATGTAAAGAATTTGAAATTAGGGCTTAGATCAACGTACAAGTCTAAATGCTTGAGGTACAATTTAGCCCTGCATCATTTATAGATGATGATTCAGTCCTTTTGATGCAACGCGTACGTCGATTTAAACTTTTGATATGTGTTGTCGATTATCTTGTACGTCACATACGTTGGGTATATTTTTGAAGAAATTATATAAAATTATATAAAATAAGCAGATAATGATGGACATAATGATTTCGACAGAACACATGGTAGTGGAGCTAAGTTTCAAAAGCTAAACCAAACCTTAAAGCATGGTATTGTTTAGCAAGTCATGTATTTTCAACACCCATGTTCATGTTCATGTTCATGGTTGCTATTAACCAATCATACCTTCAACTTTCACACAAATGTTGAAACATGAGATATTAAGAAGTTTGAAAATCAAACTTCTAAAGTCTTATTACTTTGATAGGTTTCCAAGAGGTATAAAAAGTTTGGCTTTTGTGACAAAACCTCGATGTGACAAAAAGATTAGATGATTCAATTCAAGTGCAATTGTTTTAAAGTTGTGTTGTTCATGTGGTTGTAAATTGAACACGTTCTTATGAGTTGTTACTATATCTTTAAAAGGAATTTGTTTTTGTGCTTCTTTTAAATTTTAACCATTTATACAATGGTTTTTTCATGTGTTTAGCAATGTTTTTTTTATGTACCAAAAGGTTTTGTAGCCTAGCAGTATTAAGGGTATTGAAAATGTGTCTTTCCTTTAAGTAGCTGAAGGTTTAAGTCTCGTAATGACAAAAGTTTTAGCATTAAGAGTATACTTAGTTGGTGTATGTATTTGCTACTTTAAATAAAAAATGTTAAATTTTTGCAAGGACATTTTAAATAAATTAGATAAATAAGATTGAAATATATAAGATACGAATAAATGAAATTAATAGAAGATGAAGATAAGCTACATTAAATTCAGAAAGTAGAGTGGGACATAGGGATAGGGATGGGGTTTGGGTTGAGGTGGTCCATCTTCCATGTGAAATTCAAAAGTCAAACTATCCAACTTTTCCCTTTACACCTTTTTCCTTCCCATGCTTTCGTTTTCTTTTGCATGTGTATCTCTTATTTAATTTTATATAATTTTAAGAGTAAATTATAGAAATGGACCTTATAGTTTAATTAGAGGTGTAGGTTTAGTCCCATTTTTTTAAAAAACTAACAGGTTATGTTTATGTGGTTTTCAAACTTGTATCAATGGTTTTTCAAGCTAGCTTCTTAAGAAGTCAAGCAGTTTTTACATCTTACACCAATGGTTCTCCATGATAACTCGATACAAAAATCAAGCATTAAGTATGAGGGGAAAATGACCAATATACCAATCATTTATTATTTTTATGTTATTTTCTATTTCATAAACTATAAGGACCAACTATGTAATTAGGAAACATGTACTCCCTCCGTCCCAAAATTATAGTCCATTTTCTTTTTTGGTTTGTCCCAAAATAATAGTTCACTTCTAAAAATAAATAACATTTTTACCAAAATACCCCTCATTATTATTTAACAAATTAAGCATTTAATGGAACATTAAATGCAAGGTAAGGACAAAACTATCATTTTATTGTATAAAATTAGTGGTAATTAATGTTTTCTTAATTTGTGTGTTTTTTGTCTGTGGACAATAATTTTGGGACGAAAGGAGTAATTAATACGATGAATTAAAAAAGTAATCAATTAAATAATCAAAGATAAAAATTAATTTAAAGGTCAATGGAGTCAAATGAAAGTAAATTAGTTAAAGGGACCATAATTGTCAATTTTTGAAAGATGGGGTTTTGACCAATAGCTGACTTATTGAATAAAAGTAGGACTAGAATGTTATGATATGGATAAGGTAGGGTTTATTTTGGAAACTTATGAAGCTGTTAATTATTTCTATGTTAAATGGTGATTAAAGTGGAAACTTTTGTAGTAGAGGGACTATTCTTATAAATTCATAAGCTTGAGCTGTAGAAGAGGGTCTTTTTTTTCCTTTATCATTTCAAACATTCTTATCCATTTATTGAGCTTATGGGTAATAATTTTCATGTCCAATGGAGATTTGAAGCTTGTTGGTTAAAGTATTGAAGATATAACCATTATTCCTCATCATCTCATAGCCTTAGAAGTATAATCCCTTATTTATAACTCTTTATCTTCAAGTATAGTGTTTGTGTTAAAATCAAATCTGGATTTCATATTCTTCTAATTAAATAAATGAAGTTTTGTAGTTCTGATCTCATATCTAGATCATCACTTCATACCATCAAATATCTTTATTGTTGTTTAATTGTAGTTTGATGGTGAATTTTGGGTGTTTCTAACCATGGTTTTCATAAACTCAAATGTGATGGTTCATTTATTATCTATAATGAGTTTTGATTTTTGTATCATACTCTTGAACATCAATGTATCACTATTCTACCTACGGAATAGTTAATTCCATCTTCAATGATATAATATATGGATTTTGGAACCCTAATTTGATGTTGGACTTGTACTTAAGCTTAAAGGAGTTTTACTTTGGTTGTTAGATGAACTTTTAATTTAAATTTAGGTTTTAGAAGGAGTTATAGGATAATTATTCATTTGTTATGGATCCATATGATGATTCCTTGGTTTCATGGATGTTATGTGCGTAATTGGTGATTCTGAAAGAACCCCTTTCTAAACTTTCATACTAGACAATAAAGTTATTCCAAAACATGCTATGTTTTAATATTTTACATAACTACCCAGGATATTGTAAATTTATACAAACATGATCCCTAAATACACGCATATTTATAAAACATTATCTTACATTGATAAAGTGATTACAAAAGATTGGATACAAACCGACTATGTTTTAATATTTTACATAACTACCCAGGATATTGTAAATTTATACAAACATGATCCCTAAATACAAAAGTAATATTACAACTATTCTAAACCTTTCAACAGTATATGACTACACTGGTTACTTATCTCCTGCAAAATTTGTTAAACATTGAGAGGGTAAGCGGTGACGCTTAGTGAGTTCAATAATAGATACAATATAACGTTATGCCATATATATACTTCAATATGACAGAGGCAAAGAGTATCAAGGAACAACAAAGGCATAATGCTAAAAGCTTTCCATATCAATCAATGAGACATAACAATTTCCATACTTGATATAAAATCAATAAAGTTTCAGCACAAATGGCACAGAAAATACTCAAGAATATTATTTTGCTAGAATATTTAGGCTTTCAGCCTTATCTTAGCATACTACCGAAGCCAAAGTGATGCCTATGTCATACACTTCATGGTCAACGGTTCATACCAATACCCAAGTGATGCCTATGTCATACACTTCAAGTCAGAGGTACAACCTTGCTATAAAAATAGCGGAAACAACAACTCGAGATGATAACATGGAAAAGCACATAACACATATAACACATAACATACAATTGTTCCTATGTATTAAACTCACCTTAAAACAACCGGGGGTCAAAATAATAATTTGGGCAGCACTTCGGCTCTAAATATGACTTTCGTCGTTGAAAACCGGGCCCTGCAATGGTAGAGCTTTGAAACCGAAAAGATAAATTTTTCGGGCTTCTCGGGAATCTCGGGGCGTGTTTCGGGCATTGGAATTAATCCCGGGGCTTCGGGGGAAGTCAAAATATTAAAAATATGGAATAATGGGTGAGAAATGGCAAAATTCTCAAATACCCGGCTAAATCTCGCAAGGCCACTATTTATAGGGGAGGAGATCCGGAGCTTCGGATCCGAGGCTAGGAGGATCAGCAGCTGCGAAAGGCCACGCGGCAGCCGGAGCTCGGTTCGGAGGCCAGAAGTCGCGCATGCGAGGCGGCCAGGTGCGAGGCTCGGAAGGATGACACGGGACGAGCTTGCGAGCCACCAGCTCCTCAGACGCGTCATCGACTTCGGACAGATGGAAGCCTCTTAGTGGACCGGACTTCGGTCCAATGGGGAAAGGGGTGACGACTTCGGACCAATCAGAGGGTGCCACGCGAGGCTGCGGTCCAATCAGAAGATGCCACGTGGATCAACACTAT